ATCTAATATTGAATTTATAATTTTTGTTAGTTTATTATTGATCTTGTTTTTTTTTTTTTTAATAATATTGATTGTTCTATCTATAATATTTTTGAATTTATGATTGGTAGAAGAGACCCGGTAGTAAAGTTTTCGGTATCGTTAAAACTATTATGGATAAACTCATTGTTCATAATGAAAAAACTATTGTTCACAAGTGTTCATATTGTGTTCATATATACACTAGCTGCATATTTCAACTATTGTTCACAAGTGTTCATATTGTGTTCATATGTACACTAGCTGCATATCTTAACATTGGTTCGCTCCTGAAATGTATTTATAATGAATGAATTATTGTTCACAAGTTGTTCATATTGTTTTCATACCAGTTTTTTTATTTATTTACTTTCGTGTAACAACTATTCTTATTATGTTCATATTGTGTACATAAATGTTATGCAGTCCAAGTTCATATATATGTCAATTTTTTTTTCGTAACATAATGGTTCATATATATATATATATATATATATATATATAGAGGTTGGTTCAAATAGAAACCAACCATATGGTGCAAACTAAGTTAACCAACCTTAACTAATCACATTTTTTTTTCACTTTAGGTTCAAATCTAAATTATAAATTAATGATAAGAGTAATTTTGTAATTTAACCTTTTTGTAACCCCCTAATAATTAATTGGGAGTTACAAATCTTAAAAGATACCTCTAATTGATAATGAGATTTTTCTGATTTCTTTATTATTTCATGTTCATGTTCTTCTTTTCAAGTTATGTTCTACATATATTGAAATTGGTTGTCTAAGTGTACAAGATTTTCATTTCGTCCAAGATACATGGAGAATCATATTGTAAAAGAATATCAGAATAATGAAAACGATAAACGCTTGCAGTCTATGTTCATATCTGCACACATGCACAACGATCCTTGATTTTGAAAATGTTCATATATGTGCATCTCTTGCAGTTTATGTTCATATATGTTCACCATATGAACAACTTGTTTTCATTGAAAGACACAATCGTTGTTCACACGAACCCGTGACGATGTCATACGGTATGACATTGAAAAATATCACACCATATGAACATAGTGTTTACATTGTAAGACACAGATGTTGTTCACACGAACATAGGGCCAACATGTGAACATATATGAACATATGAACATAGTGTTTACATTGCAAGACACAGATGCTGTTCACACGAGCATAGGGCCGACATGTGAACATGAGTTGTGAATATGTTCATAATCGATC